CTGGTGCGCAGCGGTGAGTGGGAACACCTAACCGGCGCAATTCGATCAGGCTGTGGCTGGCAGGGAGAGAAGCTGGGCCTCTCATATAAGCTTGCATATATAACGAACAGAGAATATGGGAAGAGGCAGCAACAAGAAAGGCTCCTCGGCCCCCAATTCTGAGAAACAGGCAATAGCAGACACCGCACCAATACACATAAAGCACCATATAGAGAGCCTCATAGACCAATTCAGGAATGAAGTTATCAACGACCTGAAGCTAGAAGTATGCAAAATAGTTAGAGAAATGCTAAGCCCCACCCAAGAAAAAACAGATGGTGGAATGGAAGAACAGAAAAAGAGGGGAGAATTGTTTGATGGAGAAAACAGGGAAAGCATAGAATACGTGAAGCAGGTTCAAAGGGACTACCAAGAAACTAAGAAGTCTATCGAAGACTGGCATAACAGCTTGAAAGAAACTAAGGACAGACTATCTGAACTGGAGGGCAGAATTGTAATATGGGAGAATGAAATGAAAAACTTCTTAAAAATAACAAAGAAACAAACAGCAATAATACAAAGACAAGAAGATGATAAGAGGATCCATAACTTAAGGATTAAGAACATAAAAGAAGAAGTAGGGACACAAACAAGTGAACTACAAAAGCTACTCACAGAAATAATCCAGGAGAATTTTCCTAATTTAGCAAAAGGTAAAGATACTCAGATGTATGAGGCATACAGGACCCCAGCTACCTACAACCCAAACAGAGCAACACCCAGGCATATAATAATAAAAATTCCAGAAATTCAGTACAAGAACAGAATATTAAAAGCTGTCAGAGACAAGAAACAGACCACTTACAAGGGAGCACCCATCAGAATTACAGCAGATTTCTCTGCACAAACCATCAAATCACGAAGAGCGTGGGGGGAAATAATTCAAGCTTTGAAAGATAATAATCTCCAGCCAAGATTGAGATATCCTGCACAACTGTCCCTGGAAATTGATGGAAAAACAAGATGCTTCCAGGATAAAGAGGAACTGGGGGAATTTGCAACCACCAATTCAACTCTACAGAGAGTATTGCAGGATATTCTAAAAAAAGAAAAATACAAAGAATCCAGAAATAGTGGAGGCCACAACTAATGGAGCAGAGAACAAAGTGAAGAAGACAAACTGACAGCTACTGACAGAATAAGAGCTCAACAGAAATGAGGCAGAGAAGATTGGATGATAGGAACAGCTATTTTGGAGAAAATGACATCTTAATAGGTAATACTGATTTAGTACCATCTTGTTTTGAAGTCTCATCTAGCTTTTGTCCTTCTGTCTCCAATGGTCTAAATAGGTTGTATCTTACTGGATTTTATTATGTATGATAGTATAAGCAAAAACCTTTTAAAGACAAGGAGATTATACAGAAATCATTATTCATTTTCTGTTAGTCGGTTCTAAATATTCTGTAATGCTGTCATTCTCTTAAATGGTTTTACATTGTTTTGATATACTTAATGCTACAGTATACGAAGTTGTACTCAAGGATTTCAAGGAAAGAGACAATATGGTAACTACTTTTAGGTCAGGATTATCTGGTGGTGAAACACTATTCTGCTTAAATGGTTATGTTTTGATCTGTGCTGTTTAGTTGTTATGCCCTCTTTTATCTCAATCTCCACTCCATTATTTACTTTTTTAATACTTTTTTAAAATTTTTATCCTTTTAATTAATGGAAAAAATAGCAGGATATATTATAGTAACCCACTTTGACTTTCCATTACCTCGATTTAAAGCCCTGTATTACTCTCACCATCTGGTTTTTAACTGATGTTCCCCTATTCTGTTTTGCTGGATAGTATCAGGTTCGAAAATTTAGGCATCAGCTGTGAAGATAATGAGATTCATTATAACGCCCATTCTCGTTGACTTTTATCTACTTTTGAAGACCTACAATGTCTCCAATGGTTTGGTTTTGTTGGTTTTGTTCTTTACTGTTTTGTTCAATTGTATTATAACTAATGGTATAGGCAATTCTATTAGAGATAGCGGGAGGCATTATGGTAACCATTGTTGATCACCTTGTATTATGTTTTCACATTATCTATTATGTCCACCCTTTTGACTTGACCGATTCTGTTCTGTTATGTCACATTTGGTTTTACTCTCTTCCAAAAAAGTAATAAGAACCGTGAGAGCAATGAAACCCAAAATGTGTAATAGTCATTGTACAAAAGAGAGGAAAAGAAAGTGCTCTAAACTATATAACTGCATGTATATTTAAGTGTATAAGATAGAGTATGATATCACAGAATTTTATCAGATCATTGAACAGAACTGTTTGCAGTATCATTGTTGGAATGTCCACTTTACAAGCTTTAATTTTGTGACTTGAACAATTATTTCTAAGATGACAATATGTAATCCATTAACTTGTGATTTCCTACTGTTCATTTTTTTTCTGCAAATCTGTATAACTTGTACCCTTTCTCTGCTTTTTTTTTCTCCTTAAATAAAATATTAAAAAAAAAAAAACCAAAAAAAAAAAAAAAAAAAAAAAAAGAAATGAGTCTACCATCCAAGTCAAAAAGTCCTGACAAAAAGGGGCTATGTTGGATCACCTCAGCTGTTCACCCTTGGCCATCTGTCTCTGAGGACCATACACTCCCTGAACCTTTCTTGCTTGTATGCTTAATGATTACAAGGGGGCAGCCTCATTCCTGAAGCCCATCCAATCAACAGAGCAGCTATGTGACAGGTGACAAAGCAAACCATGGCATGTGATGGTCCGCCTGTGGCCTGTTGCTTGCAGCTTCAGTGTTCAACCTTGGGGTGTGTCAGATTCATGGAGAAGGTTGTTAAAATGCTGGCTGCCTTCTACTCACACCCACCTCCAAGTTTCTGCTTCATTTAGTCTGGGGTGGGGAGAGATTTCTCATTTCTTTTTTTTTTTTTTTTTTTTTTTTGAGATTTCTCATTTCTAAAAAATCTCCCACATGATGTCATGGGACAGCCCCAGTGACATTTGGACACAGTGAGAGCAGTGATTCTCAAACTTCGAGGCACCCCAGGGGAACCTGGGGGAGCTTTCTAAATTCCCAGGCCAAGGCCATATACCATATCTATTAAGGAGGCTCTTGGGAATGGGGGAACCTGGGCATCAGCAGTTTTTAAAGCTCTTCAGACATCAGTAGAATCTAAGAGGTGTTCAAACAGAAAGCCAGTGGGTGGAGGCACTCGCTTCCTTGCTTCATGCGGTCCTGTGGAAGCTGCCAGATGCCTTTCCATGCTGGGGCCCATCCTTTGCACCTAGGCCCAGGTCCTAAGTAGGAGCAGGGGAAAAGAAGAAGGAAGAACTGGCATCCTATGGAGGCTGCACCTCCTTGTACTTCCTGCCATCCAAAAGCTCGATATGGGGGCCCAGCAAAGGAAAGATACCAAAGCTGGGGTCCACAGACCTGAATGCAAACCTTATTCTGACCCCTTATAACTGCCTCTCCTAATCTGCATGTTCCTTTTCTAAGTTTCATGACCCATCGTCATCTGTGGTCTGACAGTAATTAATAGACAATTTCAGAAATAAACAATTTATAAGTTTTAAATTGTGTGCTAGTGGGAGTTGCATCATGAAATCTCCTGCAGTCTTATTCAGGTCACAAGTCACCCCTTTGCCAGTGGATCCATGGTGTATGTGCCACCTGCGTGTTAGTTATCTAGTAGCTGTCTCGGTTATAAGACCCACTGTTCCTGAAACAAGGTGCTTGTGTCCAAGTGGCCTTGATTTACTTGATAAAGGCCCCAAAGTACAAGAGTAGTGATCCTGGCAATTAAAATAGAGAAACTGTGAAGCACTTGTTCTAAATTACAAAGGTTAAAAAAAAGGCCTTCACTTAATAAGGAAAGAAAAAATGGTATGCTGAGCTTGCCAAAATTTATAGTATGAATAAATCATTATCTGTGAAATTGTGAAAGAGGAATTCATACCGTCACAATTTAAACTGCAAAGGTTATAGGCACAGTATGTGGAGAAAAAATGCTTATTTAAGATAGAAAAGTCTTTAAAGCATAGGGTTCAATACAGTTTGAGGTCCAGGCTCCCAGGATCCTTTGCTGCACGTTTTTCTGAATTTCTTTCTTTCTTTCTTTTTAAATTTTTATTTCTTTTTCTTTTTTTCAAATCCACTTTATTTCAAGGGAAAAAAGAAGAAGAAAAAACCAAAACAAAATTTTAAAACATGTCAACCAGGGGGCAATGTTTTCTGAATTTCATCAAGTTGTTTCTTCTTGCTCTGTTTCCTGTGCTGTAAAATGGAGATAATAAAAAAAAAAAAAACCCTACCTCACTGCAAAGCTCTAAGAGATTAAAGGAGAAAGTGCTTCTAATGCATCCACCCTGTGCTTTGAATGGCAGATGCTCAGATGCTAACTTCCTGGCCTCTTTGTTTCTTTGTCTTTCTCTGTTCTCACCGGGCAAGAGAAGGAGGCAGGAAGGCGATGTGTCCCTGGTTTCTAGTTTCACTGCCAAAGGCTGGAACCCGACAGCTTAGTCATACCACTTTTATTATTGAAAGAGATCAATAATAAATAAGACCACTTCTTTGGAGTGGTTTACTCAAGATTTCGCATACATATACGTGTGTGCATGAATATATATGGTATGATCAAAAACAATGGCAAACATTTAAATTGCTTAAATATTTAGTACAGTAAAAGACACATTACCATGAATCTCCCTCAGAATATTCATTTTAAACACTTTTTTATCTGTCAGTCCCGGGGATCGAACTCACAACATTACACTTGCCAGACAGGTGCTTGTGCCACTGAGCTAGATCCCCAGCACTTTGAATGCTTTTATTCCATCATTCTTGCCTCTTTCTTTCTTTCTTTTTTTTTTTTATTTAGGAGAAAAAAGACACAGAAAGGAAAATAAAAAGCAAAGGAGACAAACAAATAACAACAAGCCCAAAACAATAACAATACAAGCTTTCAAAACAAGACAAGAATTTAATAATGGTTTTATGTTGCATATTGTTATCTTCAAAAGGATTGCTTAGTTGACCAGACACAGACATGCATAATTGATCTAGTCGCATGAGTGTTAACTGTTCTTTTCTAAGAACTCATAGAATGAGTAGTATAGTCATCTTAGCTACCTTACGCATGTATATACTAATTTATGTCTTTTCCCTTCCTCCTTTCATTGTGGTCTCTTTCTGCAGCAGTTGTGACGTCCTCTTCTGCGAATGTCTTCAGTGGCACCGTCCTGGCTACTTTGATGCCTGAACTGATTCGAGACATTGGCCTTTCGGGGTTATCTTGACCTCAGGGAAGGGGACTTCCAGACCTGCTTCAGAAAGTGGCACACACTGGGGTAAGTGCGTTTGGACGACCGGGAGGATTTTAAGGGGATTAACCGCAACATGTCCTTTGCTGTCATGTTTTTAAAAAATCAAATCGTCTTCTAGCCCTGCTTAGATCCATGCCTGCTTCCTCAGTGCCCATGGACTTTGTACCTTTTCTCACTTTGCTTTTCCCCAAACTACATTTTGAAGATTATTCAGAGCACCGTGTAGACACCGTGGAGAGCCGTGGAGTCCACACTGTGTGTGCAGGGACCCTAGCACCTTCGCCCACTTTCCCATAAGGGACCTGGGGCTGTCACCAGTCTTTCGCTGTGACAACAAAGCTGCAGTGAACATGTTTGCGTGTGTGTTTTGTAATTTTGCCAGCCTGTCTTTGGGGGGATCCCCCCACTCTGTCACCTCCGTGTCTTCTGCTGCTCCTTTAGCTTCCTTGGCCTGGCCCTGAGCCCCAGAACCATGGCTGTGGCCTCTGTACCTCCTCCCGCCTGTACAGGCGGCCTCTGCTTGAGTTTGTCATCCAGGGCGTCTCGCTGGAGGACCTGACTTACAACAAGGCACTGGCTGCAGAGGAATCTGGACCAGGCAGCTTTTAGTTTCCTGTCTCTGTCACACAGGGAAGTTTCCGGGAGCTTGGGGCACCAGCTCTCCAGCTCAAGTCCTTTGGTTCACGAATGGGGAGATGGAGGCTGGGGAAGATCACGGCATCGGCTCGGGCCCAGCAGCCTCGGCTGTGGCTACTGCTCTGTCCCCAGAGGGGAGCACGGGTCTATGAGTGGGGTTCACGTCACAGGAGCACCTCACAAAAGCCATGTTATACGCACACTGTGAGCTTTTTCTCTCTCGCTCTTAATAACAAAACAGCCCCAGAGGCTCCTTTTGGGACTATACTCAGCATGAGTAACTCTCCCGGGCTGAATCAGCTTCCCCCGCCCAAGTCCATGTGGTGATATCCCAGCCCCCCCCCGGCCCCATGTCAGAGGGGCAATTCTCTGGAGAGGGGTCTTTACAGAGGTTAGCAAAATAAAAGGAGGTGAGCCAGGGCAGGCTCCAGCCAGAAGTGACCGATGCCTTCGTAAGAAGAGGATACAGGACACAGATGCGAGCAGAGGGAAGATGACACGGGGACGCAGGGATAAGACGGCTACCTGCAAGCCAGGGAAAGAGACCCGGGATGGATTTCCTCACAGGAAGAAACCAGCTCACTACTAGTGGATCTCAGCTCTCCAGCCTCGAAAACTAAGATAATCAAGTCCCACCGCCACCCAAGTCTCGTCTGAGGAGCTGCATTATGGCAACTCTAGCACAGTGCAGGAGCTGAGATCTGAGAAAGAACCCACACCAGAGGGGAATCTTTGCATCCCTGAAAGTCACTTTCCTGAGTCCTCAGTCCCAGTGCATTTCCTCAGCTGCCTGACCTCTTGCTGTTTGTGGCAGGGCAGATTTTTTCTAGAATCTTCCCTGGGAGGGTGTTTCTCTCTCTCTCTCCCTCTCTCTCTCTCTCCCTCTTTCTCTCTCTCTCTCCCTCTCTTTCTCTCCCTCTCTCTCTCTCCCTCTCTCTCTCTCTCCCTCTCTCTCTCTCTCCCTCTCTCTCTCTCTCTCTCTCTCTCTGTGTCTCTCTGTCTCTCTCTCAACGCTGTCTGCAGGGCATGCATCTCTGAGGTGGTGGGGAGGGAGGCTACAGGTGCCACCAGCCCCACAGACACGCCATCAGAGCACCCTAGCACCTATGGCTCATTGGGTACTAAAGGAGCAGTGTCCCTCCCTTTCCCATCCACCCTCTGGTAGGGTGGGGCTGGGGTGAGTCTTGCTCTAAATGTATTTTTCCCCATTTTTAGAGGAGGCAAATGTAGCATGCCAAATGCATTTTAAATGCCTGAGATCTGGTTGAAATATATCTTCCATCTCTGCTGAGTCATTAAGTCTTTATACTCTTCAATCCTGTAATGATTTTTATAGTCCGGTGATGTGTAGCTTTGTTCAAGTTATTATCCCCTCCATGCTCCCTTGCCCAAAAGATGCCCCTGCAGGTGACATCAAACGGGTATTGAACAGATGCCACTGCTCTGAGGGGACTCCCTGAACATAAGCCAACCAGTCCTGCCTAAAACACCAGGAAGTGGGTGGTGTTTTACAGAAATACTAAATGAATAACAGGGAGATAAAATGGAACAAACTTCAAGGGATTTGGCTTTGTTTTGTTTTTTGTTTTTGCATTTGTTTGCTTTTTAGACAGGGTCTCGCTATGTATCCCAGGTTAGTCTTGAACACTTGCCTCCGTCTCCCAAGAGTTGGGATGATTCATATGCTTTCAACTCCATACCTTTATGAGATTTGATTTGTTATGGCATATTTTTCTTTTCTTTTCTTTCCTTTTTAAAAATATTTTTTATTTTAAAGATAATAACAACAAAACAGAATGAAGCCAATAAAAACAAAGCAGTGAAATCAGTACAGAACTTCAAAAGCAGGATAATAGGCAAACAACAATGACCACCACAGTGTACCTTATCGTCACAATAGTTGTCCATTCCATCAGGTATAGCAAAATCGAACCAAAACAAAACAGAATAAAACCAATCAAAACAGAACATTGAATAAAGCAAAACAATTAATTGGAGCAAAACCAAACATTGCGAACAATATTGGACCTCAAAAACAAGATAGAAGGAGATCCCCCATATTTGCTGTATTGCATACTGTTATCCTCCCAATAGATGCTCAGACCACCAACCCCAGGCTTGCAAAATCAGCCAAACAATACAAGCAATCAGTTGCTTTTTTTTTACCTCATTTTGGTCAGTGGTGGACCACATCAACTCAGCCTGTCCCCCAACCAGTCTATTGCTTATAGGGGATTGGGGGGCTTTTGATTCTCAGCCCACACACTAGTAGACTCACAGGAGGTGCAGACTTCTGTCTTTCTAGGCCCCTCATGGCTTGCGTGCCTTCCCAGAAAGTCTGGCTATTTTGCTTCTTGGTGGGCTCCTCCCTGGCATATATTTCTTAAAATTCTCTATGCTTTGGAGATTTCAGGAGAGCTAAACATCTCATGAAATTAGCTGAGGTAAAAATTGCTTGTCCTGGTACATTGAAATTGCTATACTAGGGTGCCACAGACTGGGTAGCTTATAAATAGCAGAAGTTTATTTTTGACCATTCGCAAGACTGAGAAGTCTGAGACCAAGGTGCCAGGAGATTGCGCAGCTGGTGAGGACCATTTCTAGATTCACCCATGGTGCCTGCTAGGGGAGAGGTGACTCCCTAGAGCTATCTTATAAGAGCGCTAATCCCACCTGTAAGCGCTCCATCCTCACGCCCTGGTCACCCTCAGTGTCCTCTCAACACTATCACCTGGAAGGGTTCAGTTTCCATGGAGGGCTTTGGGGTAGGATGGACATAAACATTCAGTCTCCACTGCTGCTGAAGTCTCAGTGGGTTTGTTCATCTCAGCCCACGTCCATCTTGGGCTCCTGTGGCAGCTGGCTGCTCCTTAGCTGCATAATGAATGCATTTCCTGTGGGCAGAAGGGGGAAGCCTGGGGCTCAGTGCATGCACCTGGTTCAGCTTTCTAACGCCTCAGGGAGAGGTCGCTGCTGTTGGTTTTCTGGACAGGGACCGGAAGTCAGACCCAAAGAACTACAGCTACCGTTCACCACACAGAGCCTGTTGGCTGCAGCTCAAGTCACATGCTTTGCTACCCCTTAGGTCTACTTGTTACAAGGACAGCAATGTAGTGGGCTGTCCCATAAAACCTGGACTGATGCCTTAACCCATGGAGAACTGTTTTTTATTTGCAACCTGTTAAACATTGTATGCAGTCAGCTGCTGCCTAGGAACATTTTGGTCAGTGGTGGACCACATACGCAACAGAGGTCTCGAAGAGTTAAAACAGAGCTGAAAATTCCTGTCACCTAGTGATATCATTCAGAGCAATGGTGGGAGACTACTCCTGTTTGTGGTAATGCTGGTGTAAACAAATCCAAGGCACTGCCAGGAGCACAGCACATCAATTGTGTATAGCATGTAAGACTCGATAGTGAGTGTAAATACTGTGTTACTGGTTTATGCATTTGCTCTACCCCAATTTTGTCATTCTCTCAGAATATATCCCATGTCCTTGAAAAAAAAAGTTAGCTGTGTCATGGCACACACTTGTAATCCCAGCATTCTGGAGGCTGAGGCAGGAGGATTGCTGTGAGTTCAAGACCAGCCTGGGCTACAAAGTGAGCTCAAGGCCAGCCTGAACTGCATAGGGAGACCCCGTCTCAAAAAGACAAAAACAAACAAACAAACAAACAAAAAACCCAAAAACAAGAAGAAACAAAAAAAAGTTTACTCTAAAACACTGTGCCAGTCACACCAGTAGCACCTTCAGGGACTCAGGCCGCCAAGGTTTGGGAAAGCACATTCTTTGAGGTTCATAACATGGCACCTAACTATGCACTTCGGAGAACACATCCTGCTATTAAGCAACGCAGCCCAGGCATGCTCAGAACAGGATGTACTGCTCAGCGATCCTATTCTGTTCCCCTCGTCGACAGGACTATTCCTGAACCTGCCCCGCCCCACTGTACTTACTGTGGTTTTGTGTTGCCTGTGACTGGGCAAGCCTCCCTTCTATGATTCATTTTAAAAGTTAATTGTTTTATTTATTGCATTCTTCCAAAGGAATTCCAACTTTAATTTTGACTGACTGTCCATCGAGTTTATAAGCTAATCATTAATCTTGTTAAATCCTTATAAAGTCATCTAATTTAAATCATCTCACACGAATCCACCCAATCCAAAGGCAGGGTTCATTTCACCAAATCATTTTCTGTGGCCTTAGCAAGCTTCTAAAGATGTTTAAAGAAGTTTTATATATTCTTGGTGAATCAGTGCCTACATATTTTGTGATTCTTGTTGCCATGAGTTGTAATAATATTTTCTCACAACTGCTGTGGGTAGCAGGTGAGAGATGCTATTGGTTTTCGTAGGGGAGATCTTCTGTCTGGCCAACTTGCTGAGC